CACAATAACAAATGCTAAAAAGAGGTACATATTGATCAGTCTACTGTATTTAATGTTTATACAGTATTATTTGCAAAAGTCTTATTAAACGAATGTTGTTTGACTTAGGTCTGACTTCATCATATAGAGTGAGATGTTTCGCTATACCTGAATTTCCAATATGTCAAGCTTTTTTTTTTCGGACTGCAGTCTTGGTCATATAACAAAAATGGCGGATTTCCGGAGATTTTGTCCGGTATGTATACGCTACGCCACATCATCTCTTATTGTATTCACAAAAATTGACTCCGAAAGCCATAATGTGAAGAGGTTAGACAAACGCTTACTCGAGAGCCGCAGGCGACCTATGTCGACCGCGGACAAAAACAGACAAATAAAGAGACAATCCTCAAATACTTCTTAGCAGTCTCGTTTTCACATTCATACTCGGAACATTTCACTTTTCATACATTTTGCTTTTACGAAGAAATTATGGCAACTACTGCGAATGCATTGTCTGCTACGGCATGGTCGTGTGAGCACTGCACGTTCCATAATCAGGCGAGTAGTTGTATGTAGAATATTAGTTAACGTTATCGTTGTATTAATATGCAAAAGTTCAATAGGGTATAGATATAGCTTGCGTTATGTGTTATCGGAATCGTACGGAAGCGAAGGACCTCCCTGTTCAGGTTTGTTTTAATAATTATCGTAACATATATGTCTGCATAGGGGTAGAGTAGATAATTTAAATAATACTTATTCTAACGCTCGCTAGTGGGAGTGGCGCGCAAATCCAGACCAATGGATTCCCTATGACTTGGCCTCCGCAAGCGAACTGGAGGACGCCTTTCAACAGAATAAACCTGTCTGTAAACCCGCGAAAGGATATTTTTCTGCTATATCTTATACATACGAAGTTCATTTCAACTATGCTACTAGGCGTTTTGTTCAATATAACCTGTCGACTGGTGGTACTAGACGAGTCAGAAGGATGGGAAATGGTGAACGATCGTTTCGCATCGATGTATCATGTATTTAACATATAGTTACTCGTTGAAGTATTACTTATCTCTATATGTTTGCTTTCGCAGATGATAATTCAATTTTACAGCCAGTAGCTTTTAATGAACTGAGCCAGGATGATTCCTGTGCTATTTGCTTGGATACTTTCGCTGACCCAAGTACAACCACTGCCGATCAACACCCGGCGAAGTTGCCTCCTTGTCATGGACACTATTTCCATCGTTGTTGTGTTGCAGGTGAGATATACATGTCTATGATTATTTTCTTGACGTAATCAGTCCGTGAAGGCACACTGATTTATTGTCTTTTGTTTCTAAATAGCTGTAATCAAACTACGGGATGAATGCCCGATGTGCAAGAAAAAAGTTGAATATTGATTGACAGCGATAATATCGTATTTATGCTCTACCTGTAGTTCAACTGCTTTCTTATTATTGCTATTATTATTGTTAGTGTTGCTTATTCAACTGTGTTTGGTGTCACAATAAATTCGAATTTATCAACTTAACATTTGTACAAAACCAGTGTTAGTCTAGTACTAGTTCCTCAATATACAACGATAGCCGGATCGAATGCTTATTATTATCGAATTGCTTACGTCACTCTAAAAATACTTCTAACTTCTGACACGTTACCCGACCCACTTATTCCCGATTGACTATGGGAGATGAGTCATTCGAAGATTACACGATACTAAAACGTCCCAGTTTTGTCACAAACAATGAAGAGAACGAAAGCCCAGCAAAGGTGACGTCGGAAGAGCTCTCGGAATTTGACAGAGAGCTTGAAGCTTATAAAGATCTGAAAGGCCACCAAAATTGGGACTGGAGATTTGACGAAGATAGTGGGTATTATTACAACTATGCGACAAATGCATATGCTATCTGGAATAGCGTCTCAAACGAGTGGGACTATTACGAGCGTAATGTCCATTCTGAAGTAGTTGATCAGACAACTATTCCAACGGAAGACAAGGATACCATTACTGAAACGTCTGATGCGACTACAAAGAACACGAAGGTTAGCGTACCTGAAGAAGAGCACTTGTCTGAAAGTGAGGATCAGGAAAGAGATCAAATTCTGAAACCGACTCGGATCGTTCACAACTCGCAAAGGTTGTACGCTCCGCCCTCCGGATACAGGCCTAGTTCCGACAAGCGATATTTCTACAATGCCGAGAATAATACATGGTTTGATGTAAGCATTGGAGTATTCTCTGTTTACGATGGAACGAGTCATAGTTATCTTCCGATTGAGCCCGGCGCATTGGTGAATGCAACGCCGGCAGGAGCTTCCGATGATTATGTAGATTTAGATAGTCAAGGTGATCCAGGTAGTGATGCAACCATGCGACTTGTTGTATTGCAATCAGAAGTGCTTAAACCTGGCGGAATGGTTCTTGTCGATGGGAACGGTATTTCACTAGGACGTGACCGTTGGGATGACAGAAGGCTCCGCTTGCCCGAAATGCATACATCAAAGCATCACTGTCAAATATTTTGGTCAATGCTTGAGTCAATAGATGCGAACTCTGATGACAATGAGAGCAAACTATCTTCCATAACTTCAAAGGAGGCTTTCTATATTGTTGATAGTGGATCGCAGAATGGAACCTTTGTAAATGGCAAACGACTGTCGAATAGTAAGATGTGTTCTAAACCACACATATTAAAACATTTGGATGAAATAACAGTTGGAACAACGAAATTTCAAGTACATCTTCATGAGAAATGGACTTGTGAAGCTTGTGCTGCGACTGAAGGCAAGTTGATCGAAATATCTTCGAACTCTGCTGTGGATAACAAAAAAGACGTTTCAACGTGCAGCATGACAATCAATACGAATCCTGTATGTAGTAATATTATTTCATTAACTCAAAGGGATATCACAGAAATAGAACGACTAGAGGAATTAAACAGACTAAAGCGTAAATATGCAGCAGGTCCATCAGTCAATGCGAAAAAGAAACCGAGATACGTGGATCGTGCTGCCATGAGGCGGAAGAACAATCCTGATAATAGTCCATTTAAGAAAGTATCAGTAAGAGAGGACGCGTCAATTGAGCAACCCATATCAATCCAGTCCAAGATAGATATGAACAACAAGGGAAATTGGATGTTACAAAAGATGGGGTGGAGAGAAGGTCGAGGATTAGGTCGATCGGGTGAGGGAATATTAGATCCTATAGAAGCTACATCTAATGAAGGACGTAGAGGACTTGGTGCTGGCGGAACAATAAAGCTATCTGGTGATGAAAAGGGAAAGGAATCCTTGCAAGATGCAACACGTCGTATTGCTAGAGAAAGATTTATCGATATGTTCGAAGAAAAAGAGAAGGGACGATAATAATAGTACTATATAGTAACGGCATTAGTAAAAGTAATAATATAATTATAATTATAATAACAAACAAGTATATGCACTGGATTCTAAGATTCTCGGGCGAAGAAATAACTGATAAAGAGAATTGATGCTTGAGCTATTGCAGATAATGGTTAAAATTTAGTTGGGCTAATGGCATTTATGCCAATACCAGAAAGATCATATATAAAAAAACACCATTCGCAGATAACTCATGAATGTGAAACGTCGACCAATTTGCGAGCATAAGAATGTGAGTGTCGCATTTAACGAATCCAATCTAATGTCGGCAAGTTACACTTCACGTAACGGAGCACCTATGTAGTTGACTGTCCGTTGTTTGTAATAACTGCTTCTGTACCCTGTAGCGTATTTGAGCCATTGAAAAATTCCCTGCAGTGGTATGGATTGGAATGTCATCACCTTGGAACAAAATTCCCTGCAATGAGATAGTCCAAGTATCCGTCTGTTAATTTACTCTTCGCCTTTACAATCGCTGCATCCGGATCAGTAGCCCTCCACCTTGAAGATTTATCGTTGGAGCCACGTTTCAGTAATAACTCTTTATGGCACAAGTTATCCAGATAACGCAGGAAGCTTCGGTTCCACAGTTCACGATCGTAAGATGAGCATTCTGTTAAGATCTATTGCATATATTCTAACATATTGGTTACGTGTTGCCATCCACTTGAGGTTGGTGGGCAACATGGCCTTCATAATAATAAAGGATTTAAATAAAGAAATCGACTTGACAATTCACATTACGAGCGTTAATGCGTTCTTGATAGGGCATTTATTTAATATTCCATTGAACCAAATGTAATTCGGGATTATTGTAATAGAGTTGTTAATGCTACCCAGGCCACTTTATTATAGTCTTTATTATCAACACAGCTTATTTTGCAATAATAGACTTGGATATTTACCTACTCAGTAGTTCTCCAATTCAAGAAGAGTTTGGAGAAGCCGTATCTCTTACTTTGACCAATTTGGACGTTTTTTCTTGATTTATTCATGTTGGTAACTGTTCAATTATTGTGACGGACTAACATGAAACTTTATTACAATATTCGCCTTTCTTTTTCTTGAGTCAGCAAGCATTAATCTTTTATCATGCAGCCGTAGTTTCGTTAGACGTGGTGGTTCAATTTACAAAAAGAAACTTGACGAGAGCGTAATAAAAATAACTGGGCAGACAGTGTGAAACTAATAACTTTATTTTACAATTGACAAAATTTATCAGTTGGACTTTTAGGCTTAGATCAATAAATTCAATCCACTGGTGTTTTTTTTTTCGCTCTCTATAGAAAGAATGAGGGAAACAGAAAATTGTCTAAGAAAAAAAAAGACACAATATGCTAACAAAAATAAAAGAGAAATGAAATCATCAAAATTAATTATTCGCTTTTAATCTAACTTCCTCTACTTCAATCATCAACCAATATTCTAAGAGCCTATCAATTCATTTACAGAAATCCAAAACAATCAATATGTTCAAATATTGACTAATGGCCGCCCATGAAGCCCGTAGTATTTTTTTTCGCAGCAATTAGTTCTTCTTTCTATGTTGGTTTTAACTCCACTATCATTGTTCATTTCGGTACATCCCTCTCAAATATCCTTTACAATAATTACTATTCCCCACTTCCACTTGTGACACTTCCAACAGAGCTCTTGGGCAACGGTAACGGTGCCCACATCTTAATTTTGAACCTCTCTCCATGTCTACTTTGCAAGACCTCGTTAGCCTCGCGAGAAGTCTTAAATACCACCAAAATTGTGGGTCTCTTAGATGTCGGCACCATAGGAGGAATGCGTTTCATGGTTGCGTTTGAGAAAGTGACGTCTTCAAGTGAGTCACTTTCAGCAAAATCGTACAGTTCTAAAATGTGACCTGGTTGCGGTGGTTTGTTGGCTGCAGTAGGTTAGATAAATATAGATTGCAACGAGAACAAATTAGGATGTATTAATGTTAGCGCAATTGTAAATGTAAGCTAAACAATTGAGCATTATGAACGAACGGCAATATAATAATCTAAACGCATTCATAAAATAATTGCTGGATTCCTCCCTCGTCAGACCAAAGTTCTGCGAACATCAACCAAGCTATTCATCCACAGCACTCACCGTCACTAGGCTTGACACCCTCATAGGGTGCTTGTGCCGAATAATCAAACAACAGTCCTGATTGCTCCTTCTTCTTCCCAACACTACCTGGCGAGGCCGAAGCCGACCGGCTATGCATCTGTCCAAACTCCTTTCTCCCTTGAGGCCCTACTGATGGTGAGGTCAGACTTAGTGAACGCATCATACTTCCATCGAGTACATTTGTTGTGTTAGTATTGTCATTACTGTTGGTATAATTATCACTATTGTTGGTATTACTGTTACTATGTTTTCTCCGCGGCTGAAGTAGGCTGTTGGATGGGGTTTGCTTGTTGTTTGGAGTGGCTAACCATGTTGGTGACGACACACCTAAATTCCCAGGTGAGACGACTGGGCTCTGGCTTGTAGTAGTCGATAAAGAAACAGAGCCTGCATTCGAAATACTCCGTCCGTTTCCATTAGGATCAAACAACTCCGTTGACTTTGGCGGCCTTTTATCAATGTCAATAACCCCACTCTGTGCCATACCTTGTGCCAGATACAATCCTTGTTGTTGAGGTACCATTCTTGATGTCATATTTACAAATTCTCCCATTCCGCCCGGAAATATCTGCGTATTAACACCGTTTCTACGAGATGACATTTGGGGAATAGAAATTATTGGTTGATACAATTGGTAGGTAGGGAGAGATGGTTGCATGGAGTAGTCGGAATTAGATGGATGGAAAGAAATGTGAGGAGAGGAGACGGAAGTAGGTGTGGTCGCAGATGGTGTCGTTGGAGTTGACCAAGACATGGTTGAGAGAGAATACTAGAAATTGAAGAAAGCAACAAAGATGAGTTGTTTCGGAATAGCCATGGAAGAATAAATGAGGGCATAAGTAGAAGAAGGTAGAGTTATTTGAGAAATTGCATTCGCATCAAAGGCGAACCATTGTAAATAAAAAATTGTAAATCAAAATAAGTACCGGACTATCCCGTTGTTGTTGTTGTTGTTGTTGTTGTTGTTGTTGTTGTTGTTGTTGTTGTTGTTGTTGTTGTTGTTGTTGTTGCTGT